CAGCAGCTGAGCGCCACTGCTAAGCTAGAATCGCTTTCTGCTCACAGATCGTTGGTTGAGAACCGCTTCCATCTATTGAAGGCTTTGGTCTCTGCCTCTACCTCACCGTCAAAGCTTTCCCCGAATTCACAGCAGCTGAAGAGAGATGTCTTCCAGGTAGATGGACCTTTGAAAGACGCATCCTTCAAGTCTTACAAGAAGAAGCTTACTTCAATGGTGCAATCCTTGACGAATGCAAGTGATCGGCTCAACTCCGTTTTCAGAGAAGAGACTTGTTCCTAGCCGAAACTACAGTGACTTTTTTTTTTGCTGTCGCTTGGTAACCTCCATTTTCAATTTTCCATGGGAGTTTTAGGTTAGCGCAATGCAGCCTCAGCCTTGCCCAGGTAAAGATGCGGAGGAGGATGAGAATGAGCATGCCAGCGCCGCAGAGCCGTTGGAAGATGATAGCCTCCGTAAGGTACAAGTCCCGCTGTCAATGAGTGGTTTGGACCTGAAAACGTTTTCCGTTTTGGACAACTTTTTGGGCAACTATATGCGTGCTGACTATCCTTCTCATGGCAGCATGTTTGGTGGAATGGTGAACTCTTTGCCGTGTGACCCCAGTCAGCCGACTACTTGCGGATATGTGGTGGACAGTATGCCGGTCCCATTTCTTGGAAATCTGCCTAGAGAGTCTATCTTTGAAGAGCTGGTCAATGACAAAACAAAGGAGGTGAAGCAAAGGCGTGATTTGGGATTCCCAGATGGCCCATTGGAGACTCAGCAAGGTCAGCAAGTGGTCAAGTGTTCTTTCCAGTTTCAATGTTCTAGCTGTTGAATATGCCCGAAAACAACTGTAACCAGTTTGAACAAGTCTCTCATTCCATGTATTGGACCAAGGTGTTCAATCAGGGTCCACTGAAGAAGTTGCACTTCACCCTTGCTGGAAGCAATTTCTTCAAGAAGAACTTGCATCTGTTCTCAAAGGAGACACAGGAGAACCTCCAACGGTCACTTGCCTTGGCGGTAGCTGAACTGTGTGGTAGTGGCTGTACACATGTGTATATTATATACTATAGTATATATCTACACAGTCAATGTTTTTGCTTTTGGGTTTAAGTAGGCAAAACACGGAACAGATCCCCATTGTCTCTATCTTTGTTGAGCTCAATGTTCAGGTTGTGTTCCCTGAAGTTGCAGTACAGCAAGGCGACGTGGTCTTTGGTCGGGTTTGCCGACATGCTTGCCCCTGTGGCAAAGATTCAGCTTACAGGTGAGCGGCTTGTTATTGGCATGCCCTTCGAATCGTTGATGGCCAGCCTCAAAGCACGATCAATTGATACTCCACCATCATTTGTGTCGCTCACAGAGGAGATCTTGAAAATGACGCCTGATGATTTTGAAGCGGCTGGAGGCTTTGGCGCTCATTTGGTGCCCGGGCAGTTGATGTGGATTCCTCCTTCCTCCTTGGTGGCAGAGTTCAACATCTCTGGGGAGTTGTGCCGGTTCCACAACATCCAAACAACAATGCATTGGGTTGCCATGACCAAGCATTGCCTGACACAAGAATCAGTGCTCGCTGCCATTCATAACATTGATCGCCTGAAGGCTTTGTGCTGCGATCCTTCCCAGAAACCCTTTGAGACAATGCTTCAGGCCAGGTGGATTTTTAGTTTTATGTTTGAGGTCCGGCTTTTAAAGCTTGTAAGAGAATGAGGAACGGAACTTACATATGGCAGGCAGGCCTGTGGCCTGTAAGGGAGTGAGCGTGAGTGAGAACAACTAAATTCACTAAATTCTAAATAGAATTGAAAACTAAAAATATGTGAACGAGAGAACGGATGGCTTAGAAGTTTAGCAGTTTAGCATATCAGCTCTTTGGTTTTGAAGGTCTCTGAAAAGATCCTCTTGGAGCTATTGGATATCATTGATGGCACTGCCGGCGCCACCATCAAGCATGAGCCTGTGGAAGAGGAGAGGGGGAGTAGGGCGGGCTTAGACAGTACAACTTTACAAACCAATCAGCACTTTACAACTTTATATAATAGTACAAAGCAAGCAAATTCAATTTCCAAACCTGTGTTAGCTATTAGTCAAACATCCAAAAACAATGTCCAGTGAGCAGTCAGCAACTACACAATGTCAGGAGCCAGCTCATGATCCACCAGGGCTTCTCCAACCAGTTCCAGCAAACACTGCAGATGCAGCAGCAGCAGCAGCGGCGGAGCCCACAAATGCAGCAGCAGCCCCAGGCTCAGCCGCAAATGAGAAACCCTCTTCTGAGCAGGCAACAGCAGCTCCAGTGCCAGCAGCACCATCACCTACACAGCAGTTGGCTCAGGAAGCGGCACCAGCAGCGCCAATACCATCCCACTCAGAACCTGAGCAAACCCAGCCAGCATCAGCGCAAGCGGAGCGTCAGCAGCAGCAAACAACACAAGCAAGCAAACAGGTCATTGACCACGCTAATCCTCCGCTCGGAGATGCCCTACATGAGTGGTTTGCAGCCGAGGACAACATGGATGATGAAATCCAGAGAGCAAAGGATCACCCGCTCTTCCAAGAGTACCTGGATAGTCTTGGTGAAGATGTTCCAGAAGATTGGAAGTTTGGCCATCCCACTGAGTCTGAGCCCTTTGATGACTTGGAACACTTTCTCTTCTGGGTTGCCAACAAGCTGAAAAGCGCCCCGCTGGAGCAAACTCTGCCCCAGCTCCAGCTACAGCAAGCTCACCAAGCGCCTCAACAGCTGCAGCCGCCGATGGAGATGGAGGCGGTAGCAGAGCAACTGCAGCAACCTGATCCAGAAGCAGACCCTCCACACCCAGCGCAAGCAGCAGCAGTGACAGCAGTAGTGATGGCAGCTACAGAAGACCCGCCAGCCGCACCAGCCCTTGACCAACCCATGCCAGCCGTATCAGAAGACCCACCTGCCCTTGATGAACCAAGCGTACCACCAAAAATTCCAAAAGTTATGGAAGCAGAAGTCGCGGCAGAAGACCCTGTTCCA